GTAGGTGGCCTGGAGGGAGAGGAAGCCCCTCCTGGGAGGGCGAAGGGCCCCCGAGACCACCCGTCAGAGCAGCCTTCTGCGTTCGCGAATGCTGCCCTCGCTGAGGCGAGCACCAGGCACCGGGAGGCCTGCCCGCCCAGCCCCGGCCACCAGCAGCGGCAGCAGCAGCAGCAGCAGGAAGCCCACGCTGCACACAAGACCTTCAAGTGCGGCCGCTGTGGGGGAGCCTTCCAGAAGGCCTCCTCGCTCCTTGACCACCTCGTCACCCACTCCAGCGGGAGACCCTTCGGATGCCCACGACGTTCAAAGACCCCAAAGGAGAGCCCAGGCCTTGTTCGTCACCGAGCAGCTCCCACTGGCGAGGCCTCCCATGCGTGCGGCGAGTGCGGCAAGACCTTCAGTTACCCGTCTAAGCTGAGGAAGCACCAGAAGGTCCACACGGGTGTAAGGCCTTTCCGGTGTGGTGAGTGTGGGAAAGCCTTCAGCCGCAAAGACGCTCTGGTGCTTCACCAGAGGATTCACACTGGAGAAAGGCCGTACGAGTGCGGCCAGTGTGGCAAAGCCTTCAGTGTTCTCTCCACCCTCATTCGGCACCGGAAAGTGCACGTCGGAGAACGACCTTACGAGTGCGGGGAGTGCGGGAAGTTCTTTAAGTATAACCACAGTTTCGTTCTCCACCAGAGAGTTCACGCTGGAGTGCGGCCTTATGAGTGCACGCAGTGTGGGAAGGCGTATGTGACCCGCCCGGGCCTGTACCAGCACTGGAAGGTTCACACCGGGGAGCGGCCCTACCGCTGCGGCCTGTGCGGGAAGGCCTTCACCACCAGGTCGTACCGCAACCGGCACCAGCAGTTCCACACCGAGGCGAGGCCCTTCGAGTGCCCGCAGTGTGGGAAAGCCTTCAAACACAGCTCGACCCTGCTTCAGCACAGGAAAGCCCACGCCGCTGGGCGGCCTTAGGGAGACGGGCCGTGGGGCGGCTTCCGGCTGTGGCTGACGTGCCGGCGCTCACCCAGGGAGGAGCTCGAGGAGAGCAGCTGTTTAAAAGAAGCGGACCTCGGTCTCAACACCCGCCCTCAGTGGCGCTGCCAGCTGGGCAGGGAGCTCCTGGGAGCCATTCTGCACTCGCACCTGCCGGGACTGGGGTGCAGTTAGCCACCAAAGCCAGCTTCTGTGGCAAAGCCATCTCATCGCTGAGGTGCATCAGTGGCCCTGTGCCCAGGAATGGTAGCGCCCCACACTCGGCCTCTGTGGAGAAAACCCTGCGAGGTGGAGCTCTCACGGGCCTTGCCCTCTCCCTGAGAATGTGAGGGCTGGACAGCAGCTGGTCTGACCAGGACGCTGAGCAGTGTCTGTGGGGGGCTTTCACGAACAGCGGTGACGCTGGTGTCGTGGATTCACCTGGCCCTGAAGTGACGCACCTTGCCCGGAGCGTGTGACGATGAAGGTCTTGTTGATAGCCGCCTTGACACTGGGCGTCTGACCCCTGTGTGGAGGGACTGAGGACAGACCTGAGCTCATGGACACAGAAGACGGTGGCCGCGGGGATCCCCGACAGCTGCGGTTCCAGGCCAGGCCCAGTTTGCACTGGTGCTTGAGGTCTCTGGGTGAGTCTGCCAGCCGGGTGCCAGGTCTGTTGGTGGGTCCAGAGTGCAGCTTCTGTAACGGGGCACGTGGTCTGGGACGCGCTCCCGGTGTGACGTGAGCCGGGCCCCTGGGCAGTGGTGCACGGTCCTGGGCGGTGCTCAGAAGAAGCTGTCTCCTAAATCCGCCCAGGGCCCAGGTTTCAGGGGCCTGGAAGGTGCAGGTAGTTTCTGGGTTGACCGTAAGTCCTTCGGGGGGACTGTGTGTGGGCACAGAAACGCCGAGTTCAGCAGTGGGGTCCAGAGTTCGGTAAAGTGAGGGCTGGAGCTGGCTCCAGAGGGGCCGCGACACGGGCAGCAAGTGACCGCTCACGGCCAGTGCGACACGGGCATCAAGTTTCCCCTCAGGGCACACCCGCTCGCCGCGCCGAGGTCCAGTCTGCCGGGCTCCCGCGGCCTTACTGGGGACGCTTAGCTGTGGCCGCGGCTACGGCCTGAGGGAAGCAGGTCCTGCCTTCTCGGGGTGTGGCTTCTGTAGGTTTTGGAGGCGGCTTTTGCCACCCGCCTGTGTCCCTCAGGTGTGCGCCTGCTTGTTTCTGACGCTGCTGCCGTGGGGCGCAAAGGAGAGAAGCGGCTGGACCCATCTGGTGTGTTGCGCCTTTAAACATAGAAAATATTTCCCCAAAGGATAAATAAAGGAAACTCCTGTGTTGGATGTAACTTTGTCCCTGCTCCAAAATCGGACCTCCAGTCAAGGTAAAGTTTGGGGGGAGCAGGTTCGGGGAGGGAGGTACCAGCCCTGGGCCTGAGGGGCTTGGGGCACTCCTCGGCCAGGGCACGTGTTGAGGTCGGGAAACGCCGCTGCCTCTGCTAACGGGCGAGTCCCCCGGCCTCTGCCCGTCGGGGAGGAGCTGATGAGCGCAAGTGCGAACGTCCCCGGCGGGCAGGGAGCTTGCACCCAGTCTGCTGCTCCTCCCCGCACCAGAGGGCTCGGGCCCACACTCCCGCTCACTCGCTCCTCCGTCCTCCCGGGTGATCCTTGTCGCCTCAAGCATGGGGGCTGCCGCTCAGTTCAGTGGAGCAGGTGAGGCTCAGGTGGCCAAGCACGGGGCGCGGGCGATGGTCATTAGCGCGGATCCTTTTCCCCTGTAGGGTCAGAGCTCACAGAAGGGCCCAGGCACATAGCGAGAGGCCTGACTGCCCTGAGCAGCCTGCTGGCCTCCCACTGGGTCTTGGTACACTGCTGCGCGGGGTGGGCTGATGTCTCCCCTGTGGCGGAATGTCCAGAGCAAACCCGGGCAACTCTGATCCCTTGACCTGTGCGGGATAGTGCTGTGGACGGTGGCTCATTCCTTTACCCTTAGCCCAGACCTCTCCAGGAAGCCGCCGCCAGCTGGCCCGTCTGTTCGCTGCAGACTCCCTGCGGCCCAGGCCTGAATTCCTCTGCGGCCTGCTCCCTCTGCTGGCACTAGGCACGCGCTGCCTACGGCACTTACCCACCTCTGGACACCACCACTGCCCCGAGGCGTCTGTGCGGGCAGCAGCCGTGACCTGCGCTTGCGGTCCCGTCCGTCTCCGCCTGGTGAGGCGCAGCCAGGCAGCGCCGCCCTGTGCCACGTGCCGTACTGGCCTCTGCTGGTGCCATGGCCAGAAAGCCAGGGAGCACATGCTGGCGTCGGACTCTCTAACTTTGGCAAGAGAAGTCTGAGCTAAAAAGGGTGAACTACGGGTTACTTTTGAATGTATTTTTTATTCTGAAGCGGAAGTTTGAATTTTGGAGGACGCAGAGTTTTGGTTGCACTGGGAAAAATTAAACTTTGGTCAGTCATCGAAAAGGAGAACTAATGTGTGTCGAGTTTTTGCTTCAAAAAGAAGAGATTTTTTATTGCTTACTGGCCATTCTAGGAAACCCAAAGTCAGGAGAGACTAAAAGGGATCTTACCGGTCTCACCGTTGGGTTCCAGGCCCAAATTTAAGAAAGGCAAAGTCGAGGTCGGCCCACAGAGGAGCAGGAGATGAGTGCTAAACGCCTACAGATAAGACACAGTTCCAGGGCCTCCCTGGGGGCGCAGGGGTGAGTCTGGGCACCATCACCACTGCAGCCAGGGAGGGTCCCCAGGGCACAGACCCCGTCTCCCCACTGGCCCCTCAGCAGTGTGTCTCAGGGCTGCCCTCAGGGCATCTCCTGTTGTGCTCCCCACTCTGTCTGCAGAGTCCTCTCACCATGCCCGGCCTGTGCCCCAGTTCTTGTAGCATAAGTATTTATAACAAGTAAAAATGCTTTAGATGTCAGAAGCCGCACATGAACAGCCTAGCAGTTAGTGCACTGCTGAGGCTTAGGGTTTCCCTGCAGATGGTGAGCTGCTGCGCCGTTAGGAGCGTTATGCCTAAGAACGCTAAAGGCCGAGGCTCGTGCAGCCCAAGACGCGGAGCTTTATTCGTTTCCGTAAGCTGCTTGAAGAAACCTCTCATGGGGGTGGGACGGCCTCGGGCCGGTGCCAGGGTGACCCAGCCAGTGGTCACTCAGGCTCAGTGGCGTCCCTTAGGCAGAGGGAAGGTTCCTGATGCGCCTCCCTCCACACAGCCAGGGCAACAGCGATTGGGGCTGCGCAGGGCGAGGGCGGGAGGTGCCCGCTGCCGAACTTCGGCACCGCAGGCCTTAGGACGGGCACCGGCGAGGAGGCCGCGGTGGCCAGGTCTGGCTTTGGGCCAGGCGTCTTGCCCAGGAGCGTGCATGGGGCAGAGGCCGGCCTCGGGGGGGTTGGGCCTCGCCGGGTCCAGCATCACCCTGGGGTGCAGGTGCCGCTGGTGGTGTCCGGGGCCCCACTCCTCCGCGGAGAAGTGCACGGCTCTGCGAGGACGGGACGGCTGACCAGGGGCAGCCGCAAAGCCAGCAGTCAGAGGGCGAGGGCCAGGTGCTGAGCTGGCGGGAGTGACCGCTGCTCGGGGCAGCTCAGGCGGTTGTGTTCGCCCCCGGCCCCCCCTCCTCCGGGCT